ATAATTTGATTCACAGAAAATTATACTTTAGGATAAAAACTTCCTGTCCACTCTCCTCACTAATTTTTAAATTTGATTTTGTTAAACCACATTAGGCTGATAATTTTTACTTATACAAGCATTGTGTTTAAGCTAAAAATGAGGTTGTTTTCTAATGCTTCCATCTAATGTGAGGTTACAAGAAAAGTCACAAGATCATTATTACACCATCTGTTCCAGCAGGTTTGTTTTAGACTCCTGATTTTCAGTGTTCTTACTGAGCTGTCAACAAACTGCCAATTAATTATGAAAACCTAACAGGCTGTCAGAGGTGACTGTACTGAGAAACTGAGATCACGAATCAGAATATCATGAGATCGATTACTGCTGATTTACAGCAGTTTCCAGAACACCTTCTGTGGTTGAGCAAACTTTTAAAGATACAGAAATGATACATGTGAATCCTATGGATGAAGTTAAGTGGGATGAGCCCTTTGAGAAGGGACTTTATTTTTGGTTAGGTTGCTATTTGAAAGCTACATACTTGGATTGGATTGAATTATTTTTCTTATTTATATTTATTATATTTCTTCTCAAACTGCCAACCTCGAGGATAGCAGCCCGAGGCATAACTGCTATGCCCCCTAGGCTCTACATATAATAGATATAGACATGTATTAAGTACACCACTGCTAAATGAGTCAATTTTGACTCATGCAGAGCATTTAGAGTGGGGTAAAATTGTTCGATAGAGTTTAAGAGGCAATGAATCTTTACAGAGGCAGGCATCTATGTCTGAATGGCCAACATCTCAGCAGCACTACACAACCCACTGTACCACCGTGTGTGTGTGTGTGTGTGTGTGTGTGTGTGTGTACATATCCGTATAATTTGTAATTATTATTAGATTTTAGACTTGAAAGCCGTTACTCAAAAAATCTCTGACATCAAGCTGATTCTGACCCATAGAGACTATATACATCAGGGTAGAATTGCCTCTGAGTTTCCAAGACCGTAACTCTTCAGGAGGGTGGGAAGTCTTACCTTTCTCTCATAGAGCAGCCAGTGATTTTGAACTGCTGAGCTTGTGGTTAATAGCACAATGTGTAACCACTATGCTGCCAGGGCTCCTGGTGAAAACCACAGCTATCAATGAAAAAATTTAACATTGTTGTTGATAATCTAGGATAAACACAGTACAGATTACCTTGCATATATTGCACTGAAGATACACAAGAGGGAAAAAATGATCACCTTTACTTCCATTTCCTACAACTTTTTAAAGCTCCCTCACAAACATTGTCTGATTTGTAACAACATTTCATGAACATAAGGCAAATATTTCATCGGAGTTGATTCAATTGCAATGAGATTTTGTGTGTGTGTGTGTGTGTGTGTGTGTGTGTTTGACAGAGAAATACTCAAGGATAAAGTTGATTTGGATCAATCTCTGAGAACAAATTCATCCCAGAACTGTGAGGTATTCAGTCCCTTATTTAAAATATATTAACATTGTTTTTATAGTGGATGAAAAATTAGTACTCATGCAGAATTCAGTATATAAACACACACAGAGAGAGAGGGGAAGAGAAAGAGTCTTTTAATGAGCACTTCTAGGAATCCAGGACCCCATCTTTACCCAGAGGCACAATAGGCCATATCTTTTTGCCTTTCTCTTCTCTTACTCCCCTGGCTGGAAACAGAGGGAGCAAAAATACTTGGAGTCCCGTGGAAAATCTCTCTTCCCTGGTTGATTTGGTTTGATTTATTCTTGGGCATTATCTTGGATCTAAAATATTCCATCCAGTTGTCTTATGAACAAACATTAGCTTCTGGGAGAAGGATTAGACTATACATCAAAGTGACAGAAAAGGGATGGATTGCAAAGGAAAATATTTAGTTTTCAGATGTTGTACAGCAATCGTCGAAATTGGAAGTGCACACAGCACTCTCAGAAGAAAGGTAAATACGATCTTTCGGTTGGCCTTGACTGTGAGATGTCATCCTTTTAGGCCATCATTTAATGGCTGTGTAGTAGATGTCAGAAAAAAAATTAAGAGGTGATATTGTAGTAAAATTATTCATAATAATAACCCAATTCCTCTGTTCATCCATTCAGTAGGAGAAGACAAATTTTAGTCTACTAGAGAAGCCAATATTATTCAAATAATCATGCAGGTAGTATATAAAAGAGCCCAATTGGTGTAGTTGTTACATGTTGGGCTGCTAACCTTGAGGTAAGCAGTTCAGAAGAATAAGCCGCACCGCGCAGGAAAGATGTCTCTACTTCCACGTAGAGTTCCAGTCTCAGAAACCGGAAGGGGCGGGTTTTCCCCGTCTGTAGGGTCGCTGCGCGCCCACTTAAACTTGATAGCCGGGAGCTTAGTTTGGTGGGGTTTGACCAGTATACCATTACAGAGATGCTTTGAAAGGAAAGAAAACTGAAATGTGAGAGTATATAATAAATGAAAACATAACTCCAGCTTAGTATTATTGTAAGGAATTCTCAAGGTAGTTTTGATAGATAAGTCTTTGGTGATTTCTAAAATATTTCAACACAAAAACTGACAGAGGTCTTAGAGAAAAAATGAGCAAAGTAACTTCAAGGAGTTGAAAAAGGTCATTGTGCCTGGAAAGCACTGGATTATTACAGATAACGAGAGAAATACATGAACCCTAACTTTGTGGGAACTCAAGGGCCCCGCCGAATCTCTTCAGTATTCTGCTTCATGATAAGAGTGAAGATGGTAAGATTATTATTTTTATTTTATTTTATTTCTTTTGCCAAGATTATTTTAAAAGGCAGTGGTATCAGTGTGTTTGGATTGGAGAGAACCGGGCTGTGTTGAGGAGAGGGGAATGAAGGCAGGTGAACAACACATGTGAAGATCAATAGGAGGGGACGGGAGGGTTCAGGGAGAAGGGGTGTACATAGCTTGAATTCACATGGTGCAGTAGACTTGAGGAAGAATTAATACTATATGATATCTAGCGGGTAGAATTAAAATAATTTTAACTAAGCATCTAATATGTAAGAGATAAGAGAAAGATAAAACATTTCTCCTTCATTTCTGACTTAGGAAAAATGGATGGATGAAATCTGATCCAACATGGCTTTATTTGGAAGTATGAGTATGGAGTATGTAAGGGCAGGCTTCTGGCTAGTCAAGTTATACCTGTTGAGTAAGCTAGTTCTACCATTATGGAGCTTGGAAGGAAAGAAGTATGCATAAATAAGACCATAAAATATGTCTGGGCTGAATGCATGGTGTCCTAAGTGGCTAGCAATGAGATTTGATAAACTACCATAATTATGTATCATATTAGGAAATGGGGAATAAGCCTAAAATATCAATTCAATGCAGTTAGAGATTTTGTAGAAATAAGAGATGTTTCATATATTCAATGTACAGTTAGCACTCTTTTTTAAAGAGAGAAATGGCCAACTCATATCCAGCAAGAAAGATTCCGACTGCCCAGTGGAGGTTGTGACTGGTTATCTGTGTTCATGCTAAAAGTGGCTTTGCATAGAGTGTTGGGAGCAGAAGCATGGCTAAGTATATTGTAATATGACACAATGGATAAATGGAGGTGTACAACTCTTTCTTCTGTCCCAAAAGTGGAGGAAAGGAAGATTATTTTTAAACATGTCTATCACATCTTTAAGGATGGAAGAAAACATTTGAGTGGTACTTTAAAATACACCAAAGCGCATGGTAAATAATTTGATTAATAAGGCTCTCAAGAAAACAGATGTAGTGATGGGTTTAGACAGAATAGAATTAAAGGAACAAAACAATGCTAAACAACAACTACAAACTATTTTTACAGGAGGGAAGGGGTTTTGTGGGTGACATTGCTAAAGTGGATATAGCTGAAATGAAAGAATAGATTTATTTGCTTTGAAGATGGTAGTATTTATACGAAACTAAATTTATGCTAATTTGCAACTTCTGTGGTATTCCCAAACATAGAACAAGTACAAACATTGTAAGACTTTTACTTCTTATACAATGGCATTCTATTGTATTTCAACCTGCTCAGTCTCTACCTGAAAGACTATTTTGTTCATTTCTTCTTAATCTTTATCCGAGACTTATAATGTCTATATTTTGATTAACTAAATTTATTAACTGCATTGTAAGAGTTCAAGTTATATAAATAAATATTTGGATCATTATATTTGTTCTTGATGCTTACAGAATTATCTATGTTTTAATTATATATTTTTTTCTTTCAATTTTTAAAATAAATCCTTTTATTGGGGGCTTTCACCGCTTTTGTAATAATCCATGCATCAATTGTATCAAACATTTTGTACATATGTTGCCATCATCATTTTCAAAACATTTCTTTCTACTTGAGCCCTTGGTATCAGTTCTTTTTTCCCTCCCTCCCACACACTGCAACCCTCATGACCCCTTGATACATTTTAACTGATTATTGTTTACCTATTTTGCACTGTCTGCTGTCTCTCTTCACCCATCTTTCTGTTGTTCATCCCCCTGGGCAGGGGGTTAATACGTCAATTCTTGCCAACAGTTACCCCTTTCTCCCACTGTTTCTCAACCTGTTTTTATATTTTTCCTCGATCATTTTTATGACTTCCTTTGTCTGAATGGAGGACACATTTTTGTATTTTCAAGGGTGATATTTGAGTAGTTGGTATTTGAGACGCCTTTTATCCCGACACTGCCATTGAGTCAATTCCTACTCCAGGCACCCATGGGGGCCGGTAGACCTGCCCGGGGGTTTGGAGACGCTGACTCTTGATGGGAGTTGAAAGCCTCTTTTCTCTCTCTCTCTCTCTCTCTCTCTCTTGCAGAGCATGTTGTTGGTTTCCAACTGCTAATCCTGGTCTAGCAGCCCAATGTGTCACTACTGCACCACTTCCCTTACCAATCAGTAAAAATATTTAATGGAATCTATGGAGGTTTTGATGTGCTGTTGAAGCTCTCTTGGTAACTTTTGTCCACATATAACAAATTCTCTCTGAACATTTGCAACTTTTATTTTGACAGGTTGACCGCCACCAGGATGTTTCAGTGCTGGTCAGCTGCGTTGGTCCTTGGATTCATTTTTCTGGAATCAGAAGGAAGGCCGTACGAAGAAGCAGCATATGGTCCTAAGTCCTATCAGCCGCTGATGAGATTGAGACACAAGGTACCGTCGACATTCTCAATCTGCTCAAAATGCATACTATGAATTTAGTTCATATTTTCTGATTTAGCTTAGATTTTATAATTTGCTATGAACTTAGGAGCACATATTTCAGTAGGTGCATTTCAAGGATAATTATACACTTTAAAATGCCAAATAGTGTCCTTTTGGAGATTTTTAGCAAAGAAAAATATGGCCCATTTATAAAGTAAATCTATAAAGTTAAAATGAATAATAATACGGATTTATACAAATACATAACTATGTTAAAATCTATGTGACACGACACCTATAACTATTTCCGTATTAATCTTATGTTTAGCATATTTTAGATAAGAAACCATTATTTTATACCTTATTATGAAGATTAAAACACAATTAAGATGGAGAAGAGTTGACAAAGGAGGAGTACTTTTCTTTGTAATCACGAGTTATTTTATTTTCATCAAAAATTACAGTATATTGGATTGTGTGATGTATGATTGAACGGCATAATGTTGGGTGAGGACTCCATTTCTTATGTTACATATTCCCAATTTCAGAATAAAGTGACATCCAGGTAAAATATATGTCAATCATAGAAATGAAATATGTATAATCATTAATACTAATGCTCTAATGATGCTTCATTGTTATCAGTAAGATAATTTCTTAATCAAATAAAATTTATGATAAATTATAACTGTCAAAGAAGTGAAAAATAAAATTAAATAGAGTAGCTATTGCAAAACTTCATTTTGATACCTGCCTTTAAAGGTATACTTTGAAATAAATAAATAGACACTAATGAAGTATTTTTTCTTTACTTACAATCAAGACATAGTATTAGCATTTTCATTGTATATATTTTGCTGTTTCCTTCATAAAATTACAACATTTGATTAAATAGCTACCAGTTACTTCGTATCAGACACGAGGCTAAGCTTTTGAATGTGTTGTTGTCTTTCATTCGCAAGCGATTTAATTCAGGTGGCATTGTTTCCAGTGGTGGCGGTGGGTAAAGAGAGACGATGTCAAGGAGTCCAGGAAGGAAAAGAATGTTTGGAACCTGATGGTGGTAGCAATTGTACAATTTTACTCGATGTGATTGAGATATGTAATTATATGATATATGTGTTAAATCCAAATTAATAATATAAAAATAACTGTTAGAATATTGTTAGCAGAGCAGGTCTTAACCCACTACACCATCAGAGTTCCACAACTGTTAAAATATTATGTATAATTCCTTCAGATATAATTAGTGATACATGCTATGCACGCTTACTTGATAGCCATAAAGAAAATGAGCAAATAAACGCACACACACACACATATCAGACATAACTGCAGAACTTCAGTGGCATATAGAATTAAGTTATTGACCATGCAACCCCCATAAAGCAGAGAAAGAGAGAAGGCATATTCACAGCCGTCAAGTCAATTCCGTTCCAGAGAGACCCTGTAGGACGGAGCAGAATTGGGTTTCTGAGGCTTTACAGAAGCAGTAAGTTTCATCTTTCCCCCAAAATATGGCTGGTGGTTTCGAACCGCGACCTCATAAGTGACTACCCCATCACAGCTCCCCATCAAGCACGCGTCTGCAGGAATCCAACTTGAGATTTGGCATTTTTTAAACCTATATCTCAACTCTTAATTATAGAGTTAGAAACGATCTCTGCTTTTTAGTATGAAACACAAAGAAGGAAAGAGTGTTCTGGTATGAATGAAATTTTCAACTGCTTGTTAGAGAAATGAGACGAAGCTCTAAATGACATTTGATGAGTCTTTGGGGTTGTGTATGTGCGTGTGACAATGTATTTGACAAAAGGTGTAAAGACTCCCAAACCGAACTCATGCCATAGTGTCAATACTGACTCATAGTGGGCCAGAATTGACCCACTTATAGGGTCTACCCTATAAGACTGGGTAAACCTGCCCCTGTGAGTTTCTGAGACAGGGTTAATGGTTTTGAACTGCTGACCTGGCAGAGTGCAGAGCAACACGTAACCACTATGCCCCCTGGGCTAAAGAAGGGCCCTTAATTGCACAAGTCTTTTCATGGTCTTTACTAGGTACTTTCCACTCCCTCAACCCTTGCTCCACAAGTGCCAGGCCGTAGAACTTGAAGGCTAATTTTATCATCGCCCTGACTTTTGCCTTTCTCTGTTACTGTCTCAGGACCCCTTGAACATCGCCTGCTGACTTCCATTCTCACTAGGGGGACCTTAGAAAACCAGGGAAAATATGGCCTATCCCAAGACATTCTCTGTTTCTCCTTCCTCCTTTACTATATTTCATCCACATAATTCATGAGCCTCTAACAGGAAACATAATTCACTTCATTAAGGGTTTGTTTCTTTAATTATGGCATTGATTCCTCCTCTTCATTTGAGTAGAATATAGTTAAAAACAAGATGTGAGTATGTAAGTATTTGCATTTCTAAAATTTAAACTTTCCTATTATATTACTAGAATAATGTCAGAGCAATGGATGAATATTAAGGTAACATATTTTATTTTCTTCCATTGTTTTTTAATCTTACATAGTTTAAATTTCACAGAGTTGAACTATCTCAACTTTCATAAGACTGAGAGAATAATAGAAACGTCTAATAAAAATAGATTTCAGTAATATTCATTTTAGTTATTGATTAGGAAAGTATAAAGATAAATAATTGCCAGGGCACAGTACAGCACTGATGAAACACACAATATCCCTCTGGTTCCTTGAGGCTTCCTCATCTCCCACTATCATGACCCCAGTCTTACTTTTCACTTGGGCTAGACTGGTACATGCACACAGGATGGAGGGAGAAAAGAGGAGCTGATACCAAGGGCTCAAATAGAAAGTAAATGTTTAGAAAATAATGATGGCAACACATATGTACAAATATGCTTGATATACTTGATGTAGGATTGTTATAAGAGCTGTAAGAGCCCCAAATCAAATTATATTTACAATAAATACATAAAGATAAGTAATAGACTTCTTAGTTACTGTTCTCACAAATCCATGGTTTTAACAATTGAAAAATCAACATCCCAGTGTAGACATCTGAAAGGATGCATTTAGGGTACCAGTTACAGTGGGAGACTTTTTTTCTGTTGGCTATGAGGAACGGGCGTTGTTTCCTTTCAACATCTTCAGCTGCGGTTTCTTGTGGAGATCCACGTGCCTTGGCGTGAACGCACCTCTGTGTCTAAGAGGATTTCAAAGCAGGGAACCCTGGTCCGAAGATGTGCTCAGCTCCACACTCTTCCTTCTGAACAGCAGTCAGGTCTCTTCTCTGTTCACTTCTCTTCCTTCTTTTCTCTTGTAAGATACAAGGTGTGACGCAAGCCAAGATGTAGCACCAGTAAGTGTGGTCACCTGAAGATTGGGTGACATTTAGTACTTGAGTATTTGAGTAAGGATGGTGACTTGAGACAGAAGGTGGTGGTCAGTTTTGTAAGGCTGTAGCTTAAAATACAACCCACTTCATTCTGCTTTTTAACATATAGTGGCTAGGATTTATAATAAAACACCACAAACTGTATCAGAGCACCCTGTGGAGGCAGCCACACCATACTGGGGATCATGGCTTCGCCACCTTGGGGGAGGGAGGAGTGTTGAGACACAGTTCCCTCCAGGGTAATTGGTAAACTGTTGGTAGTGATGGTTTTGTACCCTGTCAATGGTTTTGATTCGTAGAGGTGTAGCTTACCCAGAAGGGAGCATTGCTCCCTCCTGAGACCCTGCTCTGTGAGTCTGTTGCAGCCGCGGGGTGGAGCCCCTCTTGCTGACGTCGTTCTCCATCTCCTCGTTAGTCTTCTTTATTCATTGCCAGCCTCTTAGGTGTTTATGAAACGATTGAAAAGATCATTGTCCAGTTCTCACAAGCAAATGAGGCAATTAAAAACACCTCAGTTTTCATAGAGATGGCTCTGCTTTATAATCCTTCAAAGAGATGTTTTTGCTGTGGATTTGTCTAATGCAGCATATGTTTTGAGTTCTGAACTGCATTTCCATAGGTCTTAAGTAAAATTAAATCCTTAACAACTTCAGTATTATCCCTATTTATTGTAGTGTTTCTTATTGGTGCCCTTGTGGTGTAGCAGGTTTGCAGCTGGGTTGCATTCAACATGATCAGCGGTTCAAAACCACCAGCACTCTGCAGGAGAAAAACTAGGTTTTCTACTGCCTTCAACAGTTACAATCTCAGAAAGCCACAGGGGGTCGCTATGAGTCAGCATTGACTTGCAGTGAATTTTTTTGTTTTGTTTTGTTTTCTGGTTCTTAATGGTTCAGTTGTGAGGATTTTGGTTTCTTTTTGTTGAGGGCTAATCCATATGTAAGGGTGTAGTCTTGGAGCTGTCAAAAAGTGCTTCAAGTCTTAGATGCAAAATAAATCTCGAGTTTTGACTAGCAAATTTCCATATTTTATTTCATAGAAAATAAAATCAGTACATTGAATATGAACCAGTATATGTATAGCACACATTTTTTCACAGATATCTGAGTGCCAATGGTATAATGAATCCCATTTTGGAAGAAAGAAATGAAATGTGAGACATTTGTCATATTACACAGAGAAATATTTTGATATACACAATATTTAAAATTCGAAATTGCATATGTAAATAAATGAGAATAAAAATGTGTGCCTCTATATCAAAATGAAAATGAATAAGAAATACACTATGGCAATTAAAGTTTTTTAATTGCGATTTACAGAGACGTGTGAGGGAAATAATTCTTTGTCACCCAGTATGTTCATCAAACCAGCTTTAACACAACACCGGATGCACGAACTCATGATCCTCTAAGATCGACTTAAAAATACTAATTCCAAAAGTGTTTCATTCATTCTGATTTGAATTTAAACATTTCATATTTTATTGTGCTTTCATTTTTACTCATTGTTACTATAAAAATCATTTAGTTTCCTGTAAAGTAGGGAATATTACTCTAACTTAGTCAAATGATGCAATGATCCCAAAAGATATGAAGTGACTTTCCCAAGGCAAAGTGAGGGCAAGAG